TTCTCTGTCCAATTATCGTAACCCCATAGCTTGTTGTCAACCAAAAATTTTGCACACCCACTCAACATCAACCTAGGCCCTGGATTATTCTAGTGACTAATCGAACTATGTGGGTAAATGCCTGAAGCGATATATCGAAAAAAAATTTCTTCGCGTTTTGACTTTCTTCTTATAAAACTGCTAAAGTGATTTGTGTCTACCAGAGGACTATAGGAAACCTCATTTGGGAACAGAACTGGACTACTCACTTGAATCAGATCAATATCCATGTTTGGAAGCACTTCTCTGACCTCGCGCACCGGACCGGTAATCGAAGGTCCCGGTTGCGGTGTCTCTTCCTCGGGTGCTTCTAAAGACGGCAATACACGTGCATCGACAACTGGGAAATCGCGCGAGACACCCGCCTCTGTGAAGAGGGATTCAACAGCACCAAGCACGTACTGTACAGCGGCATCGTCTCTGAAGGAGCACCACGTATGCGGCAGCAAGTGTGGGATTGCGGATGAGTAGAATGGCCGGAAAAATGAAAGTAAACAAGGTTTTGGTATCAATTTTCAGAGGTCCTAATTTTAACAAACAATTAAAACTCTAATATGTGTACTAGCAGTTTCGGTGGATTTTCAAAAACACAGCATTTCCACAATCAGAGCCCTCTGGCCGATCTGGAAACGACGTTTGGATTAGTCAAGACGAGGATAAGGATGGTTCAATCCTCTTGGAAGATCTTATTCATTGGAAAGAGTACGTTCCGAAGTAGTGTAAAGGTGAAGGGCCTAGAGAAAGATTCTACAAGAGTATCGAACCGTCGTCAACCAGGATGTGGTCTTAGTTACTCCTGATTTGAAATAGAAAGGGGAAAAATTGGAGGCACTGGGGGAGGGATAATCAGAATATTTCATTTTGTAAATACAAAAACAATGTCTTTTACTTCATTTTTCTATTTATTGAATATACAAATGTAAATTCAACTTTCAGGAAGCGGGCTGTGGCCATACAAAGGCTGTCAGGGGAAAAACAGAAACAGGAATGACGGATGGCAGTGGAGCGGTTCGAATCCGGGACCTCCGGGTCACAATTTAGTAACCTGACCACTTGGCCACCACCGACCCATGCACGATATAGTGTAAATCATCTTGTAGCCGGCATCAAACCTGGCTCATTTCCACACTGGTCTCCAGGGTTATGAATCGGTCAGAAACAATAAAAAACCTAATCCAAACAAAATGAAATTTATTATACACTAGAATCATGTATTCCACCATACAACCAATGAATTATTTTGAGAAACAAAAACACGACCAAAAAAAGAAAGACATGCAAAACAAGTTCTGTGAGGAATACTTCACTCGCCTCACTAGTGTAACTTAATCATCAAACACCTGTTGGTCTGATTCAATGATCCAAAAAGCATATCAATTAGTTTCCTAATCTTTCATTTTATCCAGCTTTAAAATGATTGCAATAAAACAACAGAAAAAAAACAAATGCTTTCTATTTGACATGGTTAAACGGTTCCGCGTTGATAGCAACGACGAAGCAATGTAGGTGAGTGACAACTAACTCCCAGTATCCTACAAGATGGTACCAAGTAAAAAAGAAACAATCTACAGTCTGTATACAATCGTGAAACAGTAGAAAAAAGCAATAAATAGCATGGTGGAACTGGTGAAAATTTATTGGATGAGGCTTAGATTGCTCAATCGACAACTGCCGTTTTGTTAACCGAATAAAAATCAGACATCAGGCGATACTCACAGATGCCTTAGGATCTCCGAAACACCCAGTATGATCCGGAGTGGGTGTCCCGGTTTGAGAGTGGTCACCTCACTCTTGCACTTGGCAAAATGCTTCCATACGAACAAGCGTCTCAAACAGCCTTTGCTGAGGAAGCCCTAATCAATGCCTTCTTGTAGCGGAAGTGCTTTCCCACTAAAGTGAGAGGACAAACAATCAATATCTGGAGCTATAACCAGGTCAGTGAG